CCCTAATACTCCAATTTATTATTATTGCCTAAAAAAGAATGTAATTAAAGCAATTAGTAATGGATGTTTCAGCTGGAAAAATATTCTCTCACATGTGAAGTTATCAATCACCCAAAATATTTTTAATTCTGTGCTTAAAATGAAGCTTCAGCTTACAATTCACTGCTTGCATTTTCTTCTCCTAGTTAGACCACTGATGGATTTTGGATAAGTCACCACATGTAATATTCTTTGGGCACATTTTGATGTCAGAGAACAGCAAATCAAGATGTTTCAGCACTCTGTTTTGCAAACAAAGTGTTCTACATTATTAGCCAAGAATTCAATATGTGAATACATGACCAACTTCTTTTAGAGAAGTAAATCTGTCAGTAAAGTCACATATTGCAGTCCAGCCTGGTACATCTATTTTGTTCTTGAGCATCACATATATGAATTACCATCTTTGATAAACTATAGAGAGAATATTTTTAAAACATTTTGGAAGTAAAAGAGGATCTGAATTTTAAGTCTTGATAGTATTACATTTGATCTTGAGTATGAATTCCAGAAAATGGCTTTATGTATATCTTCATATTTAGTTAGCAAGCCTATTTTAAATGATAACAGGAAGTTAGAAAAGTTTATTTTAAATGACAGTCTGGATGTATCTGCTTAGAATTGAAGCATGTCGAGACTAGATTTTTTTTTTTAATGTGAAATGCAGCAAGCGTTTAATTCTCTATACATATTAAGTTATCCATCCACAGTTTAAAGATGCTCTCAGATTCTATTGTCTTTTTGATATTGAAGTGAGAACAGGAGATGCAATCTGGTCTAGTTCATTGGAAAATGGTCTGGGACTCAGAAGACCTGAGCTTTAGCTTCACTCTCAGGAAAAGAAGAAATGGCTTTTTAAACAAAACAAAACAAAACAAACCACAGTGTCAACGGTCAGTGAAATAATACAAAAAGAGCTGAACTTCGAATTTCTGAAGGTATTTTCTACCTACTTCATGTCATTAAAAATTAATGCTAAGACTAGTGTGTCTAGAATAATTAAAGACACCAAAATCAATCAACTTCAGAAGGAAGGAGGACTGCACTGGCAGTGCATACAAGTGATACCATGGTTTCTCAGTTACTGGCAAGTGGGAAAGACATTCTGTCCCAGATCAGTATTTTAACAAATAAAGCATGACAGTGACATCACTTGGTGTGTGTTACAGCACTGTTTCACACTACAGGAGCAATAAGTACTTAAAAACCAAAGTCTTCCCTCACGGGCAAGTAAAATACATGCCCATTGTCAGCCTGAAATTATGCCTGCTTAGACCACATGGCTTGCAGTCCACCCTCCATAGGGATGGGGATTGACAAATTTATATTTGTCATGACATGCCTGTCATCACAGGCCCTTTCAACATCTTCTGCTTCTTTAAGTATATACTTGTTTAACCAAGTTGCTAGTGTTGATTTCTGAAGTGCTAAATCAATTGCTGATTACCAAGTAGTTCTGTGACCATGCATTAATCACTAAAGGAAGAGCACAGTCAACAACCTATAAGATAGGAAAGCCATTTCAGCACATCTGGCAAATGTTGAGAAAGTACAAACAGCGTGCAAACAACCAAATATAAAAAGGAAAGCATAAGATAAGAAAATCCAAGGTACTATTTAAGCATAAACAGAAGCAACTTTATAGCCATCTGCAGTTGGCTTGTGAAACTGAACATTTCTTTACAAATTACTGTAATGCCAGTTAATGGCACACGTAATTTTATCATATTAGGTATCAAGTATTAAGGGCTTAAACTTTCCATCGGTCGTTAAACGATCCCTCCCTAGACCTTGGCACACAGAATTAATGGCAAACTGGACTGACAGATAAGGAGCTATAGCTGTATCAAATTATCGAAATATAAATCAATCAAATTACTTATGTCTAAAAAAGCTTCAGAAAGTTCTAGTATGGCACTGGCATCTCTTTATAATTCAATAACACAGATATGAGAGCTGTGAAAAAACCTAAACTTTATAGTTTTATAAATCTGCTTTAAATCACGAGAATGGTTGTGTTATGTTCATAGCATGTAACATGAAGAATATCTGCAGGGAAGCAAGTTTTCCCCCTTCTAACCAAAAGTGCTTAGGAAGAGACTCAGATGAGTTATTATTCCCCATGCTGGATATTCTGCTTCATTTATGTAAGCTATTTTATTTCAGTGTTTAACAAAATACTATCAGCAGCTTTGAAAGGTTTACTCTGACAAAATGATCACAAGATAGAACTGCTATTTTTCTTTGCTAATTTTGAAGAAATAGAGCAGCAGTAGTACAGATATTTTTAACAACATGGTACTTATAAGTTTTAAATTTAAATTCAGAAAAAAATCAAATCTAATAATTTTTTAACAGTGTTAAAATTTTTAAAAAAGTTGTTAAAAAATCTTACTTTTCATCACAGAAATTATGTAGAAATAGAAGAAAACAGCTATTTTTCTTTGCTAATTTTGAAGAAATAGAGCAGCAGTAGTACAGATATTTTTAACAACATGGTACTTATAAGTTTTAAATTTAAATTCAGAAAAAAATCAAATCTAATAATTTTTTAACAGTGTTAAAATTTTTAAAAAAGTTGTTAAAAAATCTTACTTTTCATCACAGAAATTATGTAGAAATAGAAGAAAACAGTCTTTGCACTACTTCTGCTTTTTTCTGATAGGAGTTGAAACTTTGCAGTCATGCTTGAAATGATAGTTGATTTGAATTAAAAAAGTATAAAATTTATTGCAAACTATAACAGGCAATCAATTGTCTTATGAATTCTTTGTAATTTCCTTCTTTCATACATATTTGTTGCTCACATAGTAGAAGAGCAGTTACGTATCATCAAATCATATCCACTGCTATTCCAGGCACCCATCAAACGATCTTAAAAACATTTATGCTTCCTCTTCCCTACACTGAAAAGTCACTTCATAACCTCACTATTCCATTCCTTCATTTATTTTCAACCTCATTATTGCACTTATATGCACTTACTCTTATGCTAAGACAATTAAGAGCTTTGATTTACAAAGTACACAACCTAGTTTCAAACAGGCCTACTTAAATGATGTCTTTTGGTAAGCTACAAAAGTTGATAGTGTTTGGTGGATACAGTTATATGCCTAGATTTCAGAAAGACTTTTTCCCAAAAATGTTTCTCTTTTAGTGTTGGCTGCACAACTGATCAAAGAATCACATAAACAGAAAGTAGCTTAATCCAAACTCCTGCTTGAAGCCGGATCCAACTAGCTGAAGCTGGTGAGGACCACATCCAGGGAAGTTTTTAGTATCTTCAAGAGTACAGATACCTCCAACCTCTCTGGGCAACCTGTTCCAATACTTATTCAAGTCATTTATATAAGGCTATTTTGTGGCAGAATCGATTTAGATATTAAATAGGCTGTTAGATGACTCTTACTGCAATTCCAATCATGGGGAAACTCAGAAATTTGTGTCAGGAAATGTTTGTGTGGTTTTTTTTAAAGACTAAGGAGTAAATAAAGCAAAAATTATATGTGAAAACTAACAGCTGTAGTGATTTATTCAAATGATTTAATATTTTAATATCAATAATTATCAATAATTATATAATTTTGTTGCAGCATAAGTGGTATTTAGAATTAGACACCACTGTCTTAAAAGACAAAATAAATATAAACATGCGCTGCACATGCTACAAAGAATACTTCGGTCATTGTTGATACTTTTAATTTTTTTGCTAACTGCAATTACCAAGTTCTTCACTAATTTAAATGAAAGAGAAATGCATCTATCACAAGAGACTTAAGAGCCTGTTTAGTTGAATTCAAAGATACATTTAGTTGTTATATTCATAAATAAAAACAAACTAGCTGCCATGCTAATTAAGGAAAATAAAAGATTAAGGAATTTACTAAATTGATTTTAAATCTAGCATTACAGTTTATTACCTTTCACTGAATGCTTCATAAAAGTGAGAAAACATCCATAATTTACAATTTTCACTGTGGGAGTTATGCAGTATTTATAATTTATGGTGCTCTCTCCTCTAAATAGATTTCAGCAAAATGAAATGACAGTTCCTCATGGGAACAACCATCTAATCAATACCAAGGGAGCGTATAGACACTACTGAAAAATTGTCATCACCATTACAAACACACTTTCACATTACCCAAATTTCTAAACATCCATTTAGAGTGAAATGGCGTACATCCAGGGCAGGAACAAGGCGGCCCAAAAATGCACAGCTTAAAAGCAGTCCATCTTTTTCTAAGATTTTACTATACGTACATTAAGAAACTTTATTTATTTTCAGTTACCTAATGCTGTATACATAGAATACGCCTCTAAGAAGAGGGGAGTCATTAGGATCAGTCTGCAATGCAACCTGCATTTTTAGAGGTCCTGCCTAGATATAAGTAACTGTCAGTCAGTCATTTAAAAATACTTTTGTCATGATCATCTATAGGAACTGCAGAAAGCGTTACAGATTTCCAATGATGAGGAACCCGCACTTGCTCCTTTTTACCTACCCACCCAATGTTAGTTCCTGAGACCTAATGACTCCTTTGAAAGACAGACAAAATTTTTTAAAAGTCATTTAGAAAATGTCAGTTATATATGACAATATGCTTGTGACACAAAGTTCCCAGAAAAAAACAAAGTAGCATTCGTGAACCAGATCGTTTAAGTGCCAGAGTTCATCCTTGGATGTCTACTAGAAGGAGTATTTACTGTCTTTAGGCAGCAACAAATAGGTATGATAAGAGGATTAAAGAACCACAATTTGAGAGACTGCAATTTGCACTTTTGTTGGCTTGTCACAACGTTACTGTTACTTCAATACTGCATTTCAATAGATATGGTACATGATCACTGTATGTTAATCATAATCACTGGAAACAGCATAGGTGCTAATAATTATCATAACACAGATGATTATAAATTTAGAGTAACTTCAGATATAAGAGTTCCGTTCAGGTACTTACTGGAGATGCATGTACTTGTGTTATTCTTAACTGGTTTTCCAAATCTTGAACTTTATTTTTCAGTTCTGTGTTTTCAGTTTCTAATTCTTGAATCTACAAAGCAAGTGGTTATTTGGAATTGGGATATTAATTCATTTCAACAATAGCATCCACTGAGAATAAGTTTTATCTGAGATCTGGTGATTTAGAAGCAATTTTTAACTAGCTATCTGATTACAAAAAATAATTAAACTTAAATTTCTGTATCTTCCATGTTTCAGCCTTGCTTTTCTCTTTAATGACCTTGCAAGATGGCAAAAAATAAAATCCTGTTTCACAGTTATCAGGTCTTTTTTCAGATTTCTTTTTTAATATCTGTTGCAATTCTTAGCAATCTAAGAACAATGCTGGAAATTATGCTGTCATAGAAAGCAGATAACACAAATACAGTAGCATGTTCTTTTATCTCTTTAAAAAATACAGTTCAGAACTTACTCTTTTCTGTAAACCTGCAATTTGTTTCCTTGTTTCAACATCTTTTCCTCCGGATTCCAGAAATTTCCTGTAAGCTAAGTCAAATGCTTGACCAATTGTTAAAGTTATCTCTTCTGCCTTTACATAAAACATAAGACTGAAATTAGTATAGTAAGAATATTTTATATTATTATTTTCATTTCAGATGATCACAAAATACTTTACACCATGTATCATGTCCAAAGGGTTTGCTTCATCAATCACGAAGTCAACACTACAAAGGAGCATGGCAAACACTCTTCAGCAAAATAGCCTGACAGAAAACGCTATGTATACAACGTAAAAATACTTCAGAGAAAGAGGGGAGACTGAACAGGCAGACCACAATTAGCTAATTTTTGGTATAAATTATGCCTCTAATTTCTCTAAATATAGATAGCACGCTGCAGTATGTCTTTTTCTGATGATTTCTGAAGCAAATACAGCCTTTTCTATCATTAAATAAATTGTTTTAGTTTTAATGGGTTAATGTTTTCATGATAATGGATGTTTTGACTTCTATTGCTTTTAAATTTATTTTCAACACTTATTTTTAGAAGTCCTATAAAATCTCAATCAGCATAGTGTAGATAAATGTATTTGCCTGCGCAAGTATTTCTGATTACAAAAATCCAACCAAACAGAATTTGCATTTGTATGTGCAAAATATAATAATTTAGTAGTTCTATGCTTATTCGCATCATATGCTATGACGTGTATATACAATCCATACAGAAAATCTACTTTAAAAATAACAGGTAAAACTAAGCATACAAGAAGTTGATTGAGCACATCAAGGTTTCAGAAAAAAATGCAGACTTACAAGAGGCACTAATAAAAGGTGAACATATGGATATGCCATTTGCCACAGAACTTTAGTAGAGAAAGTAAACAGAGTAATTTTTTTTTTTTTAAAACAAGTTGGCAGGGGAACAAAACAAAAAAAAAATTGGAAAAAACATTAATCTGGCCAAAGCTAAACTAGAATTTTGTCTTCTCTATTGAAACGAAAACCTGAAATTGGTTGTTCCTCATGAAAGCAGAGCATTCTGCTCAATGCCGAGAACATTTTTCCTTCACTACCTGTAAGAATATGGAGGGCTGGATGCACAAAAATGGTACAGAACGTGATGCTCCCAGCCTTTTATGCATCAGTGCAACAGTTAAGTCATCCAGCAGAGGTGTGTGAAGACCTGAGTTCTACAGGAATGGGGAATTAACCCCTCTATCTTTTTACTGTGGAAAAAAAAAAAAACATACAGCCACCTTTATTAAAAAAAAAAAACAAAAAACCCCACCAAAACACAAGAAATTATTTTAACCAAATTAGACTGAATTAGACCAAAAAAGCTGAACTAGGACTGCTTTAGAGAATAACTGTTTATGTTAGTAAAAGAAAAGTGTAAGGGACACTAGAAGTATGCAGTCCTATCTTCTTGGAAGGATGAGGGTGGGCTGAAAGGTACCAACTAAGGTGGGATCCTTTGAAATCTGAGAGTACTAATGAACACAGTGCAATTGAGGAAAGTAATACAGTAAGTGGAATATCAGGGTAGAGAGAAGACGAAATGGTGCATTGGTTTGGAACAGAAATGCTACTAGTGTGCAGAGACTGCAAGGGCAATTTAAAATCATGGGAATGTGTGAAAAAGAGACACAGGATAGAAATTTGAAGGTAAATGAACAGATGTATATAGCAATTCTGAACAATCTCTACTGAGGGCACTGGAGCAATGCAGGTGAACAACAAAATCACCAGAAACACTGAAGTAACACACAATGCTATATAATTGCATATAAATAGAAGTGAATATGCATCTGTTTCTAAAAAATATATTACTTCCTCAGTATTTCCTTTGTATGATATCTCAGCTACTTCAGAATAAATCAAAACGAGAGTTATAAAAAAAACCCTAAACATCCCTTTTTGGTGTTGATTCCAGTGTTTTTCTTTGTTAATTACTTTCTGCCAGGGTAAACACATGACCCTGTTTCAGCTAGACACCATTTTCTTCATTTCCTGTCCTAAAGTTGTTTTTTTTTTTTTTGCTATTGCACATTTTTGAACAGTTGCCCTGTTCTATCTCAGACACAAGAAAATGTCAGTGGTTGGTGCAATGAATTCTCTGGTAGTGCATCATGGCATTAACAAACTTGAGAGACGGGGCAGGGGAGGGGGGCAGAGAAGGGGGAACCTTGCTAAAAAAAAATCTGACGCAGACATCAGCAGAAGAGCCTGTGAGGGTATCTCAGCCACAGGGTCACAGCAATCTCTGCAAAACAGCTGTGCAAACATTTCAAGCTTGGTGGGATGCAGTCTGTTCTCTGAGAGTATTGCAGATGCTTGACCTAGGATATGGAGCCGGGCAGTAAGAAGAATTGTCTCAGAAAACCACCTTAGATCAATAAAGAAAAAGGCTCTCCTTTAAATTAATGCATCTAAGTTACAAGACACTATATTGCCATGAAAGATTATATCAGTGACCCCAATTAAAAAGCAGGCTATCTGCCTTTATTAACCATTCCTGTTTTATTTCAAAGCAGACCAACCAAAGTCCGTAACAGTCACTCAAATTCTTTTAAAATGTCTTGCATACTTACACACTTTTCGCTGTCAAATACATAGCACAGATGCTTATTTGATTCTGAGTCTTTGCATATGAAAGTAAATATTCTCTTGTCAGTTTTATCATCAGCACAAAATGATATCCTGTGGAGTTGACAGTTGTGCTGGACTTCCTGCAAATAAAAAGAAATATTATTTTCAAGAAATTACTATACTTGCTTAGGATAAAAATGCACAAAGTAAATCTCTGGATTTACTCACGTACGTAAGAGCAGGCAAGTTGCAGTAATATTTTTGAATGTCTCTCACTGTACATGAGAGCACCCAAAAATGGACTTAAAGTATAACAAAAGTTAGCAAACTCATCTCCTAACAAATGTTCCCATTTTTACTGAATGTAAGTAGGAAGTTTTTATTTGGACAGCATTTATCTGGAAGTGTTTATTTGGACAGTAATTTCAGTTCTAGAAAATTGTTTTTTACTGTTGCTTTGCATCCCTGTGCAATTTATTTAGGGACTGATTATGTAAAATACTCTGTTCTTTTTCCAGGTGTACACCATCTTCAGATTTCATCATCTCCGAGGGGTTGTTAAAATGGTTTTACTGAAATAAGTCCTTACCTTTGTATCTTAAATATGGAAAACAGAAATAAAATGACTTTGTTATCCAAACACAGGGGCACAGAGAAATAAATCAGACATGTAAATAATTGCTTACTTAAGGTACAACATAAACAGCTTTTAAACATTATCATTTGCGTATTTTTGATACCATATTTTAGTTTCCATTAAAAACCATTTTCCAGCTATTTAAAAAGTTGCAGTGGCAATGCTCTTCAGCTGAGAGAGCTTGACAAAACTGAAATAAACTTTCTCAACTATTTTTTTTGTTGTTTTCCTTCAACAAGTTTCTTCTTGGTATTTTATTTTATTTGGCTTATTACATGGGAAAGCAGTATTTGCTTTAAAGGAAAATATGCAGTTTAGATGTGAACTATTATCTATTAAAAAAAAAGTTTCTGTGCAGCATTGAGGTTCCCAGATTGCTATAAGCTCATAAAGAAAGGCATGCCCTCTCTGCACGCAACCATTTATCAAAAAAATGTACCATATGGGCAATCTTTTCCCCTTGCCCCAACCAGGTTCCTTTTCTCAGTCTTTACAGCCGTTCTTCTGCATATCCTATTTCTCCCATGTCCCCAAATCTCTCTCACACTTAAGTCTCTTTCTGTTGTAGCTCTTTAACAGTTACATATACTAACACATGCTTGTTCTGGCTCTTTTAGGTTTATAAATCCATCTAACTACTTTAGGTCATTTAAGGACAGAACCACTGTTCTATAATCCTCCTTTTTTGAGTGCCAAGTATAGAATCAAGTCCTGGTACATGAGTAGGCCTCCTGTTCCTACCACAATTAATAGTCATCACATGAATATAAACCAATATTTCTCTGTAACAATATCGAAGTGATTTGTTTCAAAAACTCGCAGAAAAAAATTACTGTAATCGGTGATGATAACACGGAATTTAAGTAATTTCCTAACGCATCTGTAAATTGTGCAAAAAGAAGGAAAACTTGATTCCAATTTACATTTACATGTAGCTTTAAGAAACGAAGTGGGGGAGATAAAAAGACTACTCATAGTTGATTACCATTTGAGTTGTAATAACAGCATTGCTAAGAGATTAGAATGTTCCTATTCCCTCAGGAACTTCCATCCCACAGCTTTCTGTTAATCTCTGCAGGAAGATTTAGGAAGACTAACACATTTTGGCATTTAAAACTGTTATTTTAAAACAGTTTTTGCCAGGATATGGGGTTTAGTACCCCTTTGTGCCCTATGACATAAGGAAGATGCAAAAACTGCCATTGAAGTTGACATGGATATTTCTTGCCCTGTCTGCTTATGAACTGTTGAATTGTGGTTGTATCAAGAGTGTGAAGTGAAAATGGGTTGCAAGTAGATACAGCTTTGAACTAAAGCTACCTTTTCTCAACAGGCAGTATCGCTGTCTGAATGGTAGCAATTACTCCGGAATTAAAAAGCAGTAACAAACAGTTCATTCAAATCCAACCTTCAACATATGTATAAAAGATTTAAGAGCACTCAGATGTTAAGAATTGCTGACTATTGAATAAATACTTTTTAGCTTCATTATATTTATCTCGTTACTCCTCTTTGAAGTCTGTGAGGAAGATGTTTTGTTTACTATGTAACCCCTTCCAAAATACCAGAGCAAACAAAGGAACAGAAAACCCATCCATGGGATGACTCAATGGACTTAACTGCTGAAAAGGCAGGAATTGTCATGCTGTGCCAGATGAAAAGCCTACAACAGTGCTTATGGCCTGCTACATGAAATTTACAGAGAAATGGGTAACACACCTGAGAAACATAAGCATTCTAGGGAGGGGGCATACAATAAAAAAAAGGTGAAAACACAAGAAAAGGAGGAAACAAAATGAAGAGGTTAAGGAAAGAGCGGTGCAATTCCAAAGCAGCAGCATGAAGAATGAGTCACTGCAAACAAATTGTCTCTTCATTCACCTGCAAACATCTACATGTGGGCACCTACACAATAGTGACCATTTGGAAAGGTGTTTATCAAATGCAGTGTTAACATTTATTTATCACAGTGTTTTCCTCTTCCTCAGAGTTTAAAAGTTCTGGTGTGAAACGATTAAAAAAATTAAATCCCACATTAGCTATAGTCTGTATTTTGGAGTATCAAGTACCTTCCTGGGAAGGTGTCACCCATGTGTTATAACAAGAAATGGTATTTTAGAAGAATTTTCCATCAACAGAATGGCTGTCATTATAATACTTTTTTAAAATATAAAACAATAAAAACATTAAAAACAGTTAAAACAATATTTAATTACTAGTTTAGCACCATAAACATCTAAGTCTCTTACCTTTGTTTTTGGATCTAGAATTTTTACACCATAGATTGAGATTTGTAATTCAACTTTGGGCGTCTTCTGGCCTTCAGATTTCTTGATATGTCTTGCAAACTATAAGATGAAAAATACAACAGCAATCGCATTAATAGTAAGTTTTCTTTTTTTTTTTTTAAATTACTTCTCATTTCCTCTCAGCTCCTTCCACCTGAAGTTGTTTGCTTCCTTCTTCAAAAAGCTCTTATAAACAACGCCAACCATTCCCAAAGTCACAGTTGGGCACAGAACAGCATTTCTGATGGCACACTGTAGAATATTCCTATAATTCAAGAAAAAATATTTTAAAATTACTTAGCTGGTTCTCTTGAAATTTTATCTGCTGTTTATGCACTTAATTTAAGCTTTTGCATGGGATTTCTAGGAGAACAGTAGAAACATGAACACTCGCAGACAGTTTGTCAACCGCTTGGTTGTTGAGCAGTGAACATCTTTATGGTTTTCACATCCCACTATTTCTACACTCCTGTACACATGCATGGAGGGTACCTCCCGTATGTTCCTCCAAGGAAATCAGTTCTTTTAAACAGGTTCAGTGTGAAAGCACTACAGTTGTCAATACCTAAGAAATACTTGATCTATTCTATCATATTCTCAGGATTTATTTGCTAACAGTTCACTAGATGATGGCTAGACATTTTATATAACTGAGTCAAGTAATGTGTCCTATTCAATACATTTTCCATCCTTTTATATCTCCTTTTCTAGCTGCTAGATCTGACTTGTCTTTCTTTCATGAACACTGCATATAAAATAAGCAGAGTATCTAAAATTTGCTACTGCATGGCAGTTAAGAAGTGTCATGAATTTGGGTAACTTTCTTAGCAAAGCTACAGAATTGCTCTACATTTTGCTCTGTTACCAGCCCTTTTCCTCTCAGGTCTTTGACAGCCTGGAATGGTATTTTCAAATGCATAAATAAGGATGATGACTCACTGAAGGCCAGAGGAGTTGGAGTCTCTGCTTCACAGCTATATGTTTGAACACATTGTCCTCAAACTTGCTCTCACTCAAGTATAATTGAGCACATAATTCACCATCAGTACAAATAAACTATATAAAATGTCAGTGAGGACAATGACTTTTAGTGGCATGGAGTCTAGGACGTCAACAAGGGTGCTAACCTATCTTAAGAAGGGTTAGACCTGGAAGACAGAAGCCTGAATTACCTTGTGATTGCGAAGTACTTGGCTGTAGCCAACTGATACCTCCCCCACAAACACCTAAACCCCTGGTTTTAATTAGTTATTTAAGTGATAGTTGAGGGTTTGGGTTTTTGCTCTGTTCCTATTCCTATGCCAACTACTAATTGGGAAATCTTTCCACGAACTCAACTGCTTTACATAGTATGACTGTCTCCATCTATTTTATTTCATTTTGCTTGTAGGCAGCTCCGTTCATGGCAAATTATTAACTAGTTTTAAGAACCACCCTAAAAACACATAATTAACCTGTTTTTCCCTTCCTCTCAATTTTATTCCTCATTTTGAAAGTACACTTATTGAAAATTTTAGTAACTGAACATTAATTTATAATTAATCCTATTAACTTCATACAGTAATATGCCCTATCCAGACAGTTTACTATTGATTAATGTATCACATCAACTGATGAATATCACACACTTCACAAGTTAGTTAAAAAAAAAAACAACCAAAAAACCCACCTAAACCACTCTATGCCATTCTCAAAACCACCTCTTAAATCTAAATACCCATTTTACATTTCAACAGCTAGGATTGCTACAGTAACTGGCAAAATACTTTATGAAGGGTTGTACATGATGACTTACTAGTGAAAATCAACTAGTCAAAAGTCAAGCAAATCTAACTAACTTCTAGTTCTGCCTCTCTTCAGTATCATGTATATAGCTCTTGTAATATACCCATCCTTTTCCTATCCTATTTATCTTCAAGTCCATTTCTCACATATTTAGAGTATACTTTTAATACAGTTTAATGAATATCCCCATTCCTTTATTTTAATTAAGGTGGGTCATCTCATATGCATCTTTTTATTTTAAAAAAATAATTTTATAGAAAATAACATTAAAAAAACCTAGTCACTGGTTTACAGGCATTTTGGCCAACAACATTTCTTGACTTTGTAGGACAATTCAAATTTGCTACAGGAAAAAAATGTTTTCTTTAACAAAAATCACTAATTAACCCCCCCCCAAAATCTGACTTAAATTTTATACTATCAATTTAACCTATTTGATTCTTAAGTCTCTGCTTTAAAAAATTTGAAAATGATAGGCCAATCAATGTTTCATTAGCAGAGATTTTTTTCCTCAAGATGAATATAAAACTTAAGATTGTTTTTCAGATCATTTTCATACATTTACTCAATACCCCCACTCTACCAGCTTTCCTTTCTGATTTGTAATTTGATTATGTCCTTTTATTGGCTAAAACTTTTGAGGACATACGTGGTGCCTTTTCATAGTACAACAGGGCTCTGCGCTTGGCTCACTTTGCTATGCGTTAAATAGAATGACCGCAAAAACCACAGATGACCTGGACAGTTTGGGCATCTCAATTTCCAATGCACTTTACAGTGCACAGAAACATACCTATGCAGTAGATAATCCTGGGGCACACCTCGATTTGGAACAGCCTTGAACTTGAGTGAACCCTGGCTTTTTGGAAATGTCCCTTTATAAAAGGACTGCACACAAGTATTTCTGTGCAGTAATGAAGAGGAGGCATAAATGATATTTGATTTTACTGAGTTAAAGCCATAGTGTATGTTGAGAATGATGATTAAACGCTTGGTTTTCCAACTGTAATCAACTCAGAATCCTGAACAACAGCTACAACACAAAAACTTTCTGAAATAAGTAGATCTGAATAACTTGCATGACTTTTAGAACAGCTGGCCAAAGCTTGCTCCAAGTAGTCAAGAAGTGTTACAACAGTGAGGAAGTTCCAGAGTATAATCCTGTGCCAATATTAAAAAAAAAAAAAAGGTAAACAAAATGACCCTACCACGTCTCTACTCTCAAAAGGCATAAATCAAGTTCAAGAACTAGAGAATTCAAGTGAGAGGAAATTAATGACGATCAATATGGATTTTACAAAAAAATGCAGCTTGTCAAAATAGACAAAGCATTTGACTGAGTTTTGCCTGCCATTATATTTAGGAAATGAAGCAATACAAAGAAAGTATTAGTTAAGTTAGTTACATTAATCTCCAGATGCAGTTATAAACAGGAAATTGTCATTGGGAAGATATGTTTCTAATATATTCCAGCAGGGTTTATTTCTTAAGCATGACATTACTGAACAATGACCAGGAGGAAAGTAATTACTGATAAAATCTGCAGGCAGAAAAAATAAGAGCAAAAAATGGGGAGCAAAGTAACTAAGGATCTGAAATCTAAAATCATTACAGAGGAAGCTTGCAGATCACGAAGGCTTATGGAGGACCAAATAACACAGAGAACACATCACCAATGAGAACACCACAGATTGCCTGTAGGCAAACAAACCATCTCTGTTGCAATGCCAATTTTGCAAACCATACATATGGGAACAAACTTCCTTTCTTGGGAGACTACCCTGTGAAGATAGAATTAAGAAAGTCTTGATGTCATGGTAGGCTTTCTGCAAACTGTGGACTCTTCTCATGAAGCTACGCTTGGGAATATTAATGCAATCCTTGGATATTTCAAAAAGATCCTTAAGACAACAATAATGGCTGCACTGCATCAGCTGCTTGTGAGAACTACTCAAGTTTTATGTTCTGAGGTTTTCCAATGAAGAAGGATGTTGACAAAATGGAGAAAGATCACAGGATATTTGCAAAAGTTAGCAGAGGACTGGAAACCCACTTTATAAGAAACGCCATCAAATCAAAAACAAGCTAATAGTGAAAGAAAAACACAAAAGAATCTCTTCAACACAGACATCCAGAGAGACAAAAAAGCTATTTAATCAAAGGTTTACTGAGATACAGTGACTGAAAAGTACACATAGACAAATTAAAAAAATCTGGTGCAGTTACTCTCTTAATGCTTTTCCTACCCACTCCCTGCTCTGTGTAACAACAGATAACATATAGATACCGATCAGTAATTTCTTTCGTAACCGACCTCTAGAAAGCCAAGTTCATCCACCTCCCAAACTTGTGCAGGGTTTGAACAGCAGCTCCTAACACTTAGTCAGGTATCAGCCAATTTGCTTTTTTTTCTTTATTTTTTCTACTCATTCCTTCTACCTAAAGAGGACCCTGAGGGACCTCTGGACAGGGGAGATTTACAAACATTATTTTCTCCTTTCAGCACACATTTGAAACAAAGTAATATTTGTAGCTCACACAGTAACAAGACTATTTAAGAGGGTAAAAATTTGTAGCCTCCCATTGGCATCAAAATGGACAATGATATAAAATTATAATGAATCACAGCATGGCTTGGGAAGAGATACGATGGGCCAAATACTTAAGCTGTTAGTTTATACGTATATTGTTCTCAGGCAAGACACCCAGATTTGGCCCAATAATAATATGAGCAGCTCAGTAGGATGGGCTAGCTTTTATTTAACTGCTTTGGAATTGACATCATATTTTCCTTGAACCTTTTAGGGAAAGCAACAGATACAAATAAATCTATTTTCTATAGTTTAATTTAGCTTTAAAAATAAAGAAGAAAAAACTTCCATATATCTTGTCTTTTATTACAGTAGCAGGGAAAATTGCAAACTTTGAGACTCACTAAAATTACATTTGAAATGCTTATGCATCAAGTCTTAGCAAACCACAATCAGAGGATTAATTAACAAAAATAACATGAGGAAAGTTAAGTTGCTAAGCCACTATCCATCGTATTTGAGAAGTCGTGGCAGTCCGGTGAAGTTCCCACTGACCAGAAAAGGGGAAACATAACCCCCATTTTTAAAAAGGGAAAAAAGGAAGACC